TACTACCTCACTTGGCCACTAGTTCTTTTAATTTTGAGAAACAGACTTCTTGATATTATCTAGAGTTTAGAATGTTAATAGCTCATAGAAAATACACTGGTGAGTTGCTAAAGTCACACAATTTATGAACTGTGATTTTTTTTTTCTCAAACACAAACAGCAGAGCATTTTAAAATTTAATTTGCAATATAAGTGGTGGTATTGTTTATTCAGCATTGTAATTTGCATGGTTTCCTGTCCAATACAATTCAAGTACTGAAAGATTAGGGGGGAAAAAATACCCTAGAAACCATAATGGTCTTGCTCAAACCACATTTGGCTCAGGTTCACGTGCAAATGCGGGATGCACTGCCTCTGGTGGAAATAATGAAGCCGAGAAGTCACCAAGAATCCTGAGTTCTATTAGCCTACTAACCTACTAATTTATGTTATCCTGCTAACGTAAGTGGGAAAAGTCAGATTCCAACGCATGATCTAAGACAGTGGAAAGATACAACCACCCTAAAAGAATGCCTCATTGTTTTACCAAGATACCTAAATTTCTTAGCTTGGGCATCTCTGCTTGTACTCTTTCTATAGTACACGAAATAAACTTTCATTCTATTGGACTCAGTGACAAAATAATTTGAGAGAGATAACTCAATTAGAAAAAGTTACTTAGATGTATAAATTAGCCAACTGAGCTCCAGCTACTGCTTAAGTAGAATTTTGGCTCCAGAGACTGTTACAAAGAGCATTTGATTCAAAGTTTAACATAGAAGCAAACACTTATTCTTGGTGGAAGAGAAAAAACAGACAAAACATTTTATTTTATATCTTGATATATTAGTTGTCATTGTAGAAATGACCTTAGAGATAGCCATTAAGCTTCACTGCATTTCTTAATGTCCCTTTGGTTCTATCATAAATTGAGATCATAGCATTACGAGAGTATTTATAGAGTTAATATTTTCCAGCCCTCATCTGGGTTCATCTTTCTTTAGATTTCCTCCCAGTACACAGAGGAGGCCGTTTTGGAATTTGAGAAAACAACCAGAGACTTTTTCGGCTATACCCCTCCTAAATTCATACATTTTTTATTAACAAATGTAAATTTGAGAGGGAAATACCATATAATACAAGTCTTTGGGGAATATTCTGTTGCGTAAGGATGGCTTACACTTTTCATTTGAATGGCGTGGATATTGAGAGCTTAAACTCAAAAATCATCTGTACTCTAGCTCTGAATCATTCCTCCTGTGAACTCTGCATGAATTTTTATAATAAACACGCACATGTGTATGAAGCATGTGACTTCATAGGCAGGGTCTGCAGGCAGGCAGTTATCTGTAGGGTCAAGTACTATTGGAGGATAACCAAGAATTGACTGACACATATCTTACAGAACTGGAGTTAATTAATAGGTCTACCAATTCCCAAGTGCACTACAGGAAACACAAAATCTGCTTAATACAGCAATCAATGACATACTCTGTATGGTCATAAGGCATTCGCTATACAGCAAGAGGAGATTTCAGAATACAGTAATCAGGAGTTTAAATATTGCTATTAAAATGCTAAAGTAAGATCATTCACAATTAGAAGACTAAACAAGGATTTCTTTGCAAACTGCTGGTTATTATTTAAAAGAAATTTTTAATTTCTTCATATTAGATCTGAAGCTATTAAATGATGAAGGAAGTTTTGCTTTGTTTCAAAAGTGCTATCTTTATTTCTGTGGCATCCAGCCATCTTGAAAGGGTTGAATCCATAATTTCTAAAGAATGGATTTCAATAATCATGGGGGCTCAATATAAGACAGTTATTTTAAAGAACACTGAAAAGAAAAAACTGGATGTTAAAAAGTCCATGAAGTCATGATAAAAGCAAAATGTCTTTTTTGTGCCATAATATTATTTATAATATATAAAGTCTGGACAGTAGTTTAAAAAAGAAACTATTTCATTATTTTATGTAATGAGGACAGGAAACAGCAGAGTATACATGCTACTTTTTCAACCAGAATATAGGAAAAGGTTTGTCTTAGTTCTGAAAGCCCATCCCTGTAAATAAAAGTTACTAAATTCAAACTTCAGGAGATCTTATGAACTCTAATCCAACAAGCCTGGCCTTAGTCCTGCTTGCTATTTTATTTCTTATTCTGCCAATCCTTCCATTACCATCATGACTTTCCTAACTGCATGAAACACATATTGTCTCCTTGTCTCAACTTCAAAAACAGTATAACTGTTTAAATACAAGTGTAGTATTTTAAGTACCAATAGAGATCAATTTAAAGCAGATTCTCTTTTAAGGCAGCTTAGCATTGAAAATTGAATTTTATGTTGTCTAGACAAGCCATCTTGATAATATCTTTTCCAGAATTTCCTAGATTGACTGTCTAGACTGCTCCCAATTCCCCCAGATGATTGCATAATCATCTTCCCTCTGACCCTTAAAATAGTCTGGAATAGCATCTCCCCATAACACAGTTGCCATGCAATTCAAGACCACTGAGCTTCTAAGGGAGGACTTTTCTCAAAGGTTCTGAGTTTTACAATTTCAATAAAACACTTGTTCATTAATATCCTACCAAAAGGTGATTGGATGGGAAGCTTTATTTATTTATGTCAGTGGAGGAAAAGGCCTCCTCCACTTTGCTGGGTAAATGGCCTGGCTTCTGTACCTTTGCATCCTCCCACCCACTCATAAACCAGCAATGAGTAGCTGATGAGTTGAGAAAGAGGCAACTCTGCTAAAAAGCAACTTCAGAAAGAAAAAGAGAAATCTATATTTGGGTAAAATTGTAAAAATACAGAAACTATATGTGATATTTTAATTTAAATGGCCATCAAGATCATCTAAGCTTCAAAATTAAAAGTAGAGGAATTAAGCTAAATACAAAATGACCTGGCAAGAATGAGAGCCTAGTGCAGTAACTTATAAACTCTGATGAATGAGGTACATTTAATAGCAAAGTGACAGTTATTACCATAAAAGCTGCAATGGCTTTCATCCTGCGATACACATTCATATTTTAAAAATGACAATCTGCATTTTTTTTAAGGACCTAACACCTATTAAGTAATGTCAAACTCTTATAACTGCATGAGGTATAGACCATTCTCATTACCACTTTCTAGAAACAAAGACCCAAAGGAAATTAGTAGCTTAGTCCAGATTAAGTATCAAGTATTGAACTAAGGTTGGACAAAAGCTCTTCAGTGAAAGGCTAGAGGACATGAGTTTAATAATGAAGGATTACAACTCCTTGAGTTTCTACAGCAAAAAATGTCAGTGGGCCATGCCGTGGTTGGAGGGTTGGGAGGCAGTTGGAGGTAGTAAATTGATTTCTCACTTAAATTTAAGGACACTGAGGATCATAGAGGTTTGCTTTGTTTTTACATATTATGAGACAAAATCTCAGAGAGGTTAAGCAATTTTCCTGGACTCCACAGATAGTAAGTTGTAGAACATGATGAGAAGCCAGAAATGACCCTAAAGCCCACCTATTTTCCACTAACCCTGTGTTTGGAGCTCAGCTCTCTGGGTCCCACTGTCCCATATAGCAGGCACATGTGAAAAGTGCAAGACAACATGCATAATGTTCTCCAGAGATATCTCCAATAAATAGAAAAGTGGGACCCAAGTTTTAGGTTGCCTAACTATTGAAAATAGCCTAGAAGCAAGTGAAGAAGGAAAGATTTATCCAGAAGTTGCTAAAAAGTTAATTATGCAAAATCTGCAGGACTGTATGCAAGAAATTATTCTTAATGTCATCAATACGAAACAAGTAACTTAAGTACAACTGCCTTCCCTTAATGTTTAATTTACTTAAAACTCCTTGGGTATGTCATCAGGTACAGAATGCAAGCTTGTTAAAAAAAGAAGAAGGATGCACGGGGGGAAGAGGTTTATGAGGGCAAATGTCTAAACTAGTGAGAACTTGGGAAATTGTTTTAATCTTCCCAGGATCATCAGGAAAGTCATAATAATCATGTTTAGTCTAGAAACCACATAGCCTCAAAGGTGTCTTCTTATACAAAGAAGGTACAACACAAAAATGTTTTGATTATTCAGTGTTTGGGTTTTAAGAACATATTTGTATCACTTTTCGATGCCATAAGAAAAATAGAAAGGATTTAAAGTTATAAAGAAGTGGCTAACATGTAAATTACATTTCAACTTTAGGATTCCAGAAATATTCTGGGAACAAACCTTTTATCTGATGAGTAATTCTGGATTCCAACTGGAAGAAAATTCTGTCACAAAAGATTTTTCTCACCACATGAACACGTTTGTTTTTTGTAGGATTTTGTGCCAAAAATTATAAACGGCTTATAATTAAAGGCTACTGATAAATCCAACCCATGGAATTGCTTTCAAACTAGAAACTTTTCCTTTGAATTCATCCCTAATTTCAAGTTTTGCTTAAATTTACCCAACTTAATTTTTTCACTAAAACATCTTTTAGGAGCAAGAGACAAATTAACATTTTTTATCTTTTTTATACTGACAAAATTATAGTCCAAAATATAAATATAAAGCCTAGCTAAGCAAGAACACAACTGTGAGCAATTTAGGTCAAACATGTGATCAGAGCATTGAGCACATGTATGGCATCCTTTCTTAATCCCTGGGCAGAAGAAAACAACTGTGGTGGCAGACACTTCTGGCTGAGGAGGGAAATGGTGGGGAAAGCTGGCAATATACAAATGAAGGAGAAAACAGTACACATTCAGCCTGCTGACATCTGCTGCACATGCAAAATGGATTGGACTCTGCAATAGAGAGGAAAAGCAAATGCTTTCTTTCTTCCTTCTCCCTGTTCCAGTTATTGTTGAGTGATGGTCTCAATTCTTTTTGTATTCACAGATTAAAATTAAAAATAACATCTGAATTCCAAGTAGGAGCTATCAAACAGCAAACTAGTTTCTTCAATGAAGTGAAGAAATTAGTAATAAAGTATTTGAAAAGGAAGGGGTCACGGACAAACACCATTTTTAAAAAGCCAGCTTTACCTCAGGATGATGTCCAATTTCAATGTAGGTGCAAACTGGATGAAAAGCCCCCGTTCCACAGGCATACAAATGAGTCTGATTATAAGCCTTAAGCACCTTGATGAAATTAGCACATTCTTTCTGTAAAACAAAAGGAAAACCAGTGAGTTCTAGCAGTGAGCATGGCTGAGGTATCCTTTAGTGTGTTAGGCATGTTTGAACAGATTTCTTTTGTGTCTTTTCACATTAGTTTTTATAGCTTATTATTCTATTGTTTGTTCACATTATTACACGAGACACAGAAGGTGTTTGCTCTCATTGTTACATGAAACAAAGAAGTTCTTATTTTTGAGGGGTAAAATATAATATTCCCTTTAATGTTTTTATTAAAACTATAAGTTATTTATTAAAAAGTGGAATAAAGTTATAGATAACCAATTATCATAAGTGACTTTTCTAGAAATGAGGGAAGCAGCAAATTATTTAGCCAATTAGTTAAATCATAATAATGATGAAAATTTATTTGCAAAAGTCAGCTTTAACTTTGGAAAAGTGAATCAAAAATAAAAGGTAATAAAAGCCTCTACTAAACATAAATGTGAAACATCGTCAGTAACTCATATTGATTGGCAACTATGAACTTTAGCACTGCTACTTACTGGGCTGCCCTGGTGGCTCAGATGGTATAGGACCCACCTGCAGTGCAGGAGACCCAAGTTTGACCCCTGGGTTGGGAAGATCCCCGGGAGAAGGGAATGGCAACCCACTCCAGTATTCTTGCCTGGAGAATTCCACAGACAAAGAGTCGAACATGACTGAGTGACTAACATGCGCACACACACACATATGCGTGTACGTGCGCATGCACGCACACACACATTGATGCTTACTAGTGAGCTTCACAGACTTAAGAAGATAAAACCACCTCCTCTTGAAAAAAGTCACTGAAACCTCAAAGATGGTTTGTGTGTAAGATGAGACAGAGAAGATATTAAGAGTTTAGAAAGTCTATAGACTGAGGGTTTTTATTAGAGTGGCTATAGTTAATAAATATCTTCATGCAGTACATGTACATTGTAAACCAATGCATGGATACCCTTACCAATGAGTCATGGATCCTCCAGGTAAAGAACATCTACTTTATAAGAGGGGATTATAGTCATATCTTATTATGTATAGAAGTTTAGACATTCCTTCTATTTCATTACACAAATGTCACCTAAGAAATATGATAGAGCTATTTATATTTTTCTATATATTCTATCTGTAGACCCTATGAAAGAAAATGTGTTTCTACAAACGAATAGGAATCTTAGCCTTCTGTTCCTGTTAAGGGAAGATTCAGGGGAAAAAAATCAGATGAAGTATAAACTAGATAATTTTATTGCCAAATTAACCCTGAGTAGAAAAGACATAATTTTTGCAAAATATTTTTAAATAAATGAGTTGCTAGCAATACTGTAAAAAGAAAACAATGAAAAGAGAAATTCAAACTTGGTGCTCTGTGACAACCTAGAGGGGTGGGATGGGGTGGGAGGTGGGAGGTAAATTCAAGAGGTAGGGGACATAAGTATACCTATGGCTGATTCATGATGATGTATGGCAGAAACAGCACAATATTGTAAAGTAATTATCCTCCAACTAAAAATAAATAAATTTATTTTAAAAAATATTCAATAAATGCTATGGTCTATTAACCATATAAAAATCTTTAAATACATATAAGTAGAAAATATGAATATGTCATGGGACATACATTATCTATTTTTAAATATTCAACTGATTAATAACTGCACTGAAATGTTATGTTATTGACCATAGACTTTTTATACACATAGCTTTGTGTTTTTGCCTATAAATGTGGAAATAAAAACCAAATATATAACTAAAAGTGCAGATAAAGATCAAATGCAGACTATAGTGCAAGCCGTTCTGGCAAATGTAACAGAGAGTTGGATTGGTCCTGACACTCCCTTAGGTCATTCTCTATAACACGTGAGTCTTCAAGGGAAAGCTCAGAATGTATTTGGACTTATGTAGTTAGTTGGAATTTATAACTGAGATGTTACAATAATTTAAGTACATTCCCAAGTGACATTTGTATTCTGTGTTTATAACTGATGATTTGGGTTTTAACTTTAATGCCTCCATAAAATAAAGAGCAGACCAAACCTGAGCAGAATAATTGTTATTTAAATTCAAATACTGGCTTTCCATCATCACTGATTCATCCAGGATGAAATCCGAGGATGTCCTATAAACATGTCATCCCCAAAGCAAGCTATGCCTCTACAAGGGAAAATACGAAACCTGACTGTTAGGAGTCTTCACCCTTTCTTATCAAACGCTGAGCAGTTTCGGGAAGTAGCTAAAAGACACATCTGATTCGTCTCACTGTTTTGTTACATCCTGAGTCTTCCCTTTGTCTGGAAAGGCATTACAACAAAGAAAATTAAGCACTGAAATCAACTAACTTTGAAACTAATTTTGCAAGTTTCTATAAAGAAAAATTTTCCTAGCTTAAGAGCATCTTACCCATGTACCACTTTGAACATGACACATCTTAGACAAAACCTTAGGTAAGCTTATACATAATCCAACTCTCAAGTCTCTTAGCCACAAACTCCCCATTCTATAACAGTTTCTCCTCTTTGAGAAAGAGGACAGGAGATGAATTCTTGGTCAGAGGAAAGAGGCCGTGGACAGGGAAACATCTGATAAACTCATTTACAAATAAGACATTCATGAGTCTTACCCAAAGGATTTACTTGTACTCTTAAGAAAATGCAGTTATTTGAAAATGAATTATTTTCAGGAAAACGTTTTATGAAACATGTAGGTGGCCACATATTCTGCTTTTACATAAAGACAGCCAACCCTGATTGTGGACTCAATATTACAACATTCAAGATTATAAACAACCATTTCCAGCACCATATGTTGAAATTAAGAAACTGGCTGTGTACATACATATTGGTAAGCAAACGAATATTCTAATAAATAGCAGTGGCAGACCCAGATGGATGACTTATTCATTCTAGAAAAGAACAGGGTTTTACTTTGCCCACCAGGCCTATAAAGATACATATGCAATTTTAAATACAAATCCAAATTCTTTACTCTCAGTAGTGACATATAAGGGCATTATAGAAATTTGAGAGGAGACCCTAGATTGCCACAATAAAGAAAGGAAGGAAAATTTTATAAGCATAGATACCTGTGCATACAAGTGAAGTCTATGTCACTTTTGCAACTGTTATGAATTCTAAGATCACAGCATCTGTGGGCTCTTATCTCTTAATCAGTTGGATAACTGATTAGAAATAATAATTGACTGAAAAATTCTCAAGGTTCTTGAGAACTATGTAACTGAGCTACCCTGAAAATCCTAATTTTCTTTTGTTCTCTGTGGGCTGTGTTGTACTGTGATAAGTTGCTCCACTCCTGTCTGACTCTGTGCAATCCTATGGACTGAGGTTGACAGGATCCTCTCTCCATGGGATTCTCCAGGCAAGAATGCTGGAGTGGGCTGCCATTTCCTCCTCCAATTTTGTTACTGTTGTTGTTGTTGTTATGGTTGTTGTTCTCTATTAACTGTCAAAGAAGCACCACTATAATATGACAACTACTCTTCTACAGAGCTGCTAGAAAAAGAATCACAGGACTGAAGCTGTGAAACCTGGCAAAGGATTTTACTAAGGATGCTGATAATGGATTTTATCTGTATTACAAAGCAGCTAGACCCACCCTATTGGCCTGAGGCCTGAATGATTTACCCAGTGAACTCTCCCAGTTGGCAGCAGGCTATACTGTACCATACCTGGGGGCTAACTCAGTATTATTTTGGTGTGAAGTGAAGTGAAGTCCCTTAGTCCTGTCCGACTCTTTGCGACCCCATGTAGCCCACCAGGCTCCTCCAATCATGGAATTTTCTAGGTAAGAGCACTGGAGTGGGTTGCCATTTCCTTCTCCAGGGGATCTTCCCAACCCAGGGATTGAACCCGGGTCTCCCGCATTGCAGGCAGACGCTTTACCGTCTGAGCCACCAGGGAATCCCTATTTTGATGTGAAGGTTGATGCAAATAGAATGAAGAGAAATTTCTTGGATTTATATAGTGTGTTCAGACACTTGAACTGAAACAAAGAAACTGAATGAAATACTTTCAAAATTGGTTTAAATTAGCTGCAAGAAAACTCATCAATAACAATATATAAGGAAACAATGAATTAAAAGAACTGGAGAGAGAAGAAACCAAAACTTGAAAGAGACATAGTGAAGTAAGGATTTTTCTTTAAACAGAAAACCAACACAAAAGAGTATCAATCCTGTCATTCATTTGTCTTCATTCTCCTGCTTGTTGTTGCCAAGGCTTTTGAGTGTTCCAAAACAGGATATTCATTTTATTTGGAAGCAGCCTGGACATTCCTCTAAAAAAGAAGGAAGCGTGGCAGAAAAAGGAAACACACTTCACACATTTCTGCTCTAGGGAGACAGAAGAAGAGTGTTTCTGACCTTTTCTTGAACCATGACGATTCTTAAAACTCAGAATGTAATGTACTTTTTGGCATTCAACTACTGTGCTGCTTTGCTCAGCACTGGTGGATTTACAACGTAATAAAGAGAATGTAATCAGTTCAAAATGAATTCATTTTTCAAACCTGGATCTTTTTGGAATTTAAGCTGATGCACACAGACAAGTTAGCAACAAGCCGGCTTCCCGAGAGTCAGGCAACCATACTGACCTCTTATTTCACTGAAATGTACTCCAGAACAACAGCATTATAAATTGTTAACTTAGCCTCATGGTAAAAGTAAAGGCAGTCATAAACCAGTAAAGCTCAAGGCCACACCTGATGAGCAATGATTCATCATCCTTAGTGACAAACCATTTACACTTATTTTTTTAAGAGTTTCTAGTGTCTTAAGGTCAAATGTAGAGAGGAATTACACACAGAGATATTAGCCTGGAAAAATAAATTACAAAGAAAATGTCTACCCTCAGAAAAAGATATAGAAGCCAAATGCACAGTGATTCAAAAACAAACATTACAAATATGTAGCACTGATTAGACTGTGGTAAGCAGACTTTTCCCGGACGGTTACAAAAATAAAGTCCATCCATCTGTCAAAACAACTGCTC